AATTTGGTGACATCCACGTCGTTCATATCCTCCAGCCGGATGAGTATGTGTGCGTGAAGTGTACCCCTCTTCTGGAACTCAAAGCGATAAAAATAGTTGGTAACATTGTTCGCAGAGGGGTCACTCTTCTTAGCAAAGAGGTGGTCCTTCCATCGGTTCTTATTGCTGCCGCACAGATAACCTCGGATGTACTGCTCGAAGACATAAGCGATGTGGATGGTTTCAGGTATGGCTAATTCTGTTGGCGCTTTGCCCGTCTGGTTACGTAGATGCTCTAACCAGGGAGGAAAGGGGAACGTCCATTCGAAGGGAGAGATCGTGATAAACATGGACGGGAAGCCAAATTGCCGCATGGCATCTATCAGATAGCGATGCTGATTTGTCCAGTACTGGTGGCTAAACATCTTGGCCTCTAACGCTGTCGCAGGTGAGCATTGAGCTTGCTTAGCCGAGTTAATAGCTCCCCTGATCATCTTAAACAACCAACGGTCGTAGCGATAATGGAGCAGATCGTAATGCAGCGCATAATCCGACACGGCAGACGTGATTTTGGTCATAAAAGATACCTTCCCGCTCTTCCTAGTTTCCTGGCCTTCCAGAAAAGACTCACACAGGCTGTTTTGGTGGTAGAGGTTTGGCCATAGTGCTGCTTCCACGTCATGGAAGGATTGATGAGAAAAGAGCTCAAAGATCCACGGCTTGCGGATGTGACTGCGATGCATGAGGATGAATTTCTTGTAGGAACAGTTTGGCTTGTTACTTAAGTAGTCGAAGGCAGCTCTGGTTCTTTGCCTCGAGACTGGATCTGCGATGTTGCGATTTTTACCTGGACGTCATCCTGGGCCCATTTGATCTTAAATGGCTCTTCGCGCATTCTATAGCCAAACATCATGCGAGTGTATTGGCCAGAGAATGCGCGAAAAGGAGGCAGGGCATAGATCTCATCCATGGTCAGATTTTGCAGGACTGCTGGAACTCTCCTCGGGTGAGGCACCTGATATCGGCCAGCGCTGCACGTACATGACTTGGAACTCGTTGGTTTGGTTTGCTTACGGTACGCAGGGAGAAGCTTTTTGGATTGGAGGGATGCACAGCGGGTGCAATATGCCCAGCTGCGGTGTTCAGCCCAGAATCTGAGGTCATTGGCTGTTTCTGTAAACACTCGTTTGCTCGTGGTCGAGCGGGTGGGGACTCTGAAAGCCCGGAGAAAGTCTTCCTTCCGCGTTGCTCACTTGCGCAGACGTTCCGAGCGGTGACCAGCTCTGGTTTCCTTGAGTTGACGTACATT